CAGGACTGAAACCTTTAATAAAATTGGGGCGGACGTCATTTCTTATTTTCAAGATGTCTCAGTATTGCACCTGATAAGTGTCGGGTTAGACGCATATGACTGGAAATCGCCGCATCGTAAGGCAAGTGCACATCATATTATCAGAAAGAAAATACTGGAGTGGAGCGGACACTTCCGGGCTTAAAACAAAACGCCATAGCGGTGTTATATACGCATGGAATACACCGTGGAACGAACAACAAGTGACCGCTGCATGCTTGACTTCTGCCACCGCTGCAAACACTGACACTGAGCCCGACGGACGGCCGCTGCATGTGTAACCCCAGACCGACGACACATGAATGCATCGGTGTCTAGTCATAAAACGCCGGGGCTGTCCCGGTAACCCTAGGTCAGCCCCGGCCGGGTGAGGGGCGGCACATGACCTGGTTGGGACTGCAGATCGTTTATGGATTTGCATCCATTCATGAACCGTTGCAACTGAGGCGTTTGCTGTTAGCAAAATTGGTTGCAGCTTTGCAGCCGAGCGCCAGCGCGCCTTTCGCATCACTTCCGGAGTAACATCTTTCAGGCTTTTTTAGTTTTACCTGACTAGAAACGATCAATTCAACTCTTGTCTATCCCGGTTTGCGTGCTTTCTGATCAAGGCCGAATAAGCTCCCTGCCTAACAATGCTGGTATGGAAATGGTTTGTCTTGTTTTGCCAAGCCAAGTCCGTCATATGCTGTGCGAGCTGGTAAATGCTAGTAAGTAGCTAGGTTTTCATGAGGTTACTTCCAGTATCATTCCCAGTAGAACAGGAGTTTCGAGTTGAGCTCAACTTTCCATTATCTTATAGCCTCTGATCAGGCTGGTTGGAAATAATGACTTAGTGAAGTGGATGCAGCAAGTGTTCCAGGAGGACAAATTTATCAAGATCACATTTTGAGGGGTAAGGTTTTTCACAAACATACATGAACATACCAGAGCGCCTTCCAACTTTATGCACAATTCAGTTCAACCGGCCCAGAGTGGCGCGGCCAAGGTGACTTCATGGGGCTTACCCTCCCCCTCCCCGCTCTCCGTCATCTTCGAGTGCAGTTTTTCCCCACACTTCTCCATACAATTCCAGAACATGGCTATCAGGAAAACTATTTTTGGTTTAAATCTCACAGACACTACCATCGGCAGCGACACGTAGACTGCCAAGTTCAACAGCTAGCAACGACACCGGCAAATTACTTGATGCATATCTGCGGTGTACGCAGCGAAGCAATTGGTCAAGGCACCGCGGCAAACCAACAGGGAGAGCTCATTGATACGCTAATTACTGTACCTATAAGTGCTGGTGCGGACCGTTAATGTGTTCGCAGTGCATAGGTAATGGCACTGGGGCTGGGATTCGCTCGTGAATATTAGTCCCCGCCCCCCCATCGCAAGCTATGGTTGCCCCCCCCCCCTCCACCCCTTTGCTACAGCACCTGGTTGCGCCCCTCCCCCTATATTCAATCCGCGGTTTAACAGTTTTTTACACCTTTGATACGTTGCCAACTTTCGGTTGTCCACCCTATGCTGGTCAGTTTTGAGCTAGATCGGTTACGAAACCTTCACTCGTCTTCTACCCGAAAATGCATTCCGATGCTGCTTGTACTTATCTTTCATGTGCATTATTTTGCGACACCGGTCGGTTTGCTTCCAAACGTCTATTTCGCTCTCAACATTCCAGTACCTCAATTGGATGTCATGATTGGCAGCGTGATCACATTTTTTGGACCTTAAGTGCGGTATTCCCACTGTGATGAGGACATCCGTGAAATGCTTCCATGGTGTCATGCGTGCCTGGATATTTTCTGTTTGAGCGGCGCAAAGTAGTTTGCAAGAGTTTGCGTGCGTCTGACTGAGACACAAGAAGACGTGATGTCTTCAAAATGGCACAACTTTTAACTGTCACTGCAGGGAATCGTGTTGAACGTGGCTAACTCAGTTCAAAGCCCCCACAGTTGTTGAACAGTAAGGTTTAAAGGCGCCCAATCGTTTTGAGACCGTGCGGTCCATGAAAGGTAGGCCTGAGAGGGCTATCGGCAAGATAGTCCGCTGCATAGAAGGGTGATTTTCAAATTTAAGAATGAATGGAAGTGGGTTTCTAAATTGTAAGGTCAGCAGTGGCCACATTAACCGAAGGTCTCACTGAATAACACCGCTTTCAGGAGATCCGAGTATCTAAGAACTCGCCTGGTTGTTACACGTACCTCATCTGTCAGCTCTGCCAATTATACAAACTGCAGCGCTCTGAAAACGCTGCGCTTCTGCGAATCTCTCGTCGTATCTGGCTCAAGGCCTGCGGTAGACCTTGACGGCAGCCGAGTGACGCCAGCCCCGCGCGCACGTCGGATGCCGAGACTTCCAGTCAGGCTGTTCCGCTTCACCGTCGCAGAGGCGCCGCCAGCGCAGGCGTGTCAGGGCACGACACACCGAGCTAACTCATGGCAGGGGGGACCGGATCGGGGCGCGGGGTCGACACGTGTCAGCGCCACACGATTTTGCTCTCGACCAAACTATCTTCGGCGCGGCCATATTTACCTGGCGCGTGCCAGAGCGCGTCTGCCGTTCGCCTGGCGCTGAGCGCGCCCTTGGTTGGATGCGGCAGGGGTGGACGGCATGTCCTTAGCTGGGACGGGGCGTCAAGGTCGGCAACGACGCCACGGACTGGTCTAGGAGGCCACCCCGCTCGCTCTGAGAGCAGGGATCGCCCAGGCCAGGCAGCAGCCAAAGGCTTTCAGGACAGTATGTGTGACAGTGGTTGGTTCCCAGAACACAAGGAACCCAAAAGACGGTCTCTTTTCCAAAAGCGGAAGCTGCCAGGCGCTCCTAATCGGTGGGGGTGGGGAGTGGGGGGGGGGTGGGGGGGTGGGGGGGGGGGTGAGGGGGACTCAGGGGCAACGCAAAGGTCTCAGGAGGAGGACTGTGATATAACAAAACCACGTCTGATTCGGGAAGGATAACGCCCTGGCAGCGTCAACAGGTAGGTGCTACCAGAAAGGTGATGCCGTCGCGCGCTGTCATGTCGGAGCTGGCTGAAAGCTGATGCTGTCGCGCCGCTGCCATGCACCACATCTAATGAGCCAAGAAATATCTACTGGAGCAGTCAACAACATGGTCAGTATTTTAATTAAAAATGACTTTTTAGAAACCGGTCTGATACCGATGGTTATGTGGTTTGATTTGTGTTGCCCGAATGTAATCGCCTTTTAGAGCGCCTCCGTGTACCTGTCAGTCACGTATAATATCCTGTTCATAGTATCACATAAGCGGCACAGTTCACCGTCCAGAATGTGCATGACTCACGTCAACAGAAATTTGCTATTTTTGCGTGAAGAAACCTTTGATCCATCTTCAAAAGGCAATTAGCCTAAAAAGGATGGGAAAGCGCTCATTTGAACGGTTATTGCTCTACCTCTATTCGCGCAGTAATATAGCCACACTGTTTATAGACACAGTGGAAACTTGCAAGAGCTTGGAAAATCAGACAACATTGATTGTAATCAAACGCGGCGAACGGTGTCTCTGTTTACTACGGACGGATTGGACCATGACGAAACGTGGGACCGGAGTGATGTGTGCATTTCTGCTTCCCCGCGGCTGGAATGAAAATGTATCCACTCAGGTGAACGAGCTCCACTTTCCTGTCCCAGGGCTGCTGCACCCCTTTCAAAGCAGCTCTCTAGACGCCGCAACTTGCCTCTGGGCTCAGGACAGCCGGGTTGCATCGACAAAGTGAGAAGGCCCCAAGCAGCACGGTGTGTGCCCTAACGCCTACCGTCTGTTGGTGACTCGAGCTGCCCTCTCTTTTGGCCATGTTGCGCCGCTGCATGGTGCAGTTTTTGCAATGACATTGAAGACTCTGCTTCAAAAACAGCTTTGTTGGAAGAACAGCATGACAGTGTAACGCGTCACACCACCTCTTGAACATGTGTCACTTTGTACACTTTAAAGGGGACCTGAGCCCCTCCAATGCTGACTTGAGCACCCTCAATGCCTTCTGACCCTCTCCCAAATGCACATGAGCAAAAGGGGAACACTGGGTCAGTGAAATGCAGCAAGTAGCTGCATTTCAATGTAGTAGTGTATGTAGTAGCACCAGTAGCAAATGAACTGGTAGAACATTTGGTGCCTGAATGCACTACTACCAATATCAGCGTCGTCAAATGTCTTATCCCTGGAGCATCCGTTTCAAATGGAAAGCCACTTTTCAATATCAAAATGATGGAACAGACCAATAATTAAAAAAAATTAATTTGGCGTCAGGAACACAATCCAAAGTGCCCAAAGCCTTGGGAGAAAACAGAATTTGGGGAGGGGGCAGGTAAGGTCAACTTTATTTGCTCAGCCCCCTCAGCTGCTCTCAGAAAGTAAGGCCTCTGCTCGTGAACGTTTTCAACTAGCGTTTGAGCGCAGCTCTTCTGTTCCACTTGTCCCTTGCTAATTATGGCCGTACTCCACCCTTTGCTTGGAGTACCTCCATTTCTAACAGCTGGGCGTGCCTCAAAACGGCAGCACATCAATCAGAAATGACATCCGCCTGAACTGCAAGGGAAGTGTTCCACATTTATGTGGGTTTTGGGACTGAAATAGCCATTTTGAAGACCTTTCGGTGCTGTTCGCATTCCTGCACTTTTTAAGACCTAAGGCTTTTTAGTTTTTGAGCTACCCGTCTGCAAAGATGGTGAAGAGTACTTTGGGCAAAGTATTTAAAAGTCACCTTGGCATTCATGGCGTTATAATAGTGTCATTCAAATCCTGCCATTCCATAAGCCACGCGGTGATCAAGGCAAAACTAATGTAATTGTCGAGGCGGTCATATTTGGCGTTCGTCAGCAAAATTTCCAGATAAAACGATTGTCAATTGGCAGTCAATCAATGTTTTGCAAAGTACGATGACGTAATCAAACACTGACACAATGAGGAGCATATTTATTAACGGAGTATTGTGCTATCTAGAGCAGTCTTTTCCATTTAAAAAGTATGCCAATAAGTGAGCCTGTTTCATCATGTCTGATGCTTGCATCAATATCCTCAAATGTGAAACATTTCCTTTAAACGATTTGCACTCGAGACGTATTTCGCCGGTGTTGCATTTCTGCGCACGATGGCGTGCGTTCCGTTGCACCACTGCAGACGCCTCTGGCGCGACAAGCTGCGCTCCTTGCTCCTCGACCTGTGCGTGCACTGGACACGGCGCTATCGTGAGAGCCGGCAGTATGTCGCGCTGTGACGCTCCGTGACGCAGACGGCGGCGACTACTTCCTCGACCAGTTGACAAGATTGGGGTGTTTGGTGGAGTGAAATGTGATGCTGGGTGACTGGTGCTTGGTGGGGTGAGATATGGTGCCGGGTGACAGGTGTTTGGTGGAGTGAGATATGATGCCGGGTGACTGGTGCTTGGTGGAGTGAGGTATGATGCCGGGTAACTGGTGTTTGGTGGAGTGAGATATGATGCCGGGTAACTGGTGTTGGTGGGGTGAGATAGGTGTCGGGTAGCTGGTGCTGGTGGGTGAGGTATGATGCCGGGCGTACGGTACTGTGTTTGGTGGGTGAGATATGCTGCCGGTAACTGCCGGGTGACTGGTGCTTGGTGGAGTGAGATATGATGTCGGGTAACTGGTGTTTGGTGGGGTGAGATATGGTGCCGGGTAACTGGTGTTTGGTGGAGTGAGATATGATGCCGGGTAACTGGTGTTTGGTGGAGTGAGATATGGTGTCGGGTAGCTGGTGCTTGGTGGGGTGAGATATGATGCCGGGTAGCTGGTGCTTGGTGGGGTGAGATACGGTGCCGGGTGACTGGTGTTTGGTGGAGTGAGATATGGTGCCAGGTGACTGGTGTTTGGTGGAGTGAGATACGACGTCGGGTGACTGGTGTTTGGTGGGGTGAGATACGACGTCGGGTGACTGGTGTTTGGTGGGGTGAGATATGGTGCCGGGTAACTGGTGCTTGGTGGAGTGAGATATGACGTCGGGTGACTGGTGTTTGGTGGAGTGAGATATGATGCCGGGTAACTGGTGCTTGGTGGGGTGAGATATGACGCCGGGTGACTGGTGTTTGGTGGAGTGAGATACGACGTCGGGTGACTGGTGTTTGGTGGGGTGAGATACGACGCCGGGTGACTGGTGTTTGGTGGGGTGAGATACGACGTCGGGTGACTGGTGTTTGGTGGGGTGAGATATGACGCCGGGTGACTGGTGTTTGGTGGAGTGAGATACGACGTCGGGTGAACTGGTGTTTGGTGGGGTGAGATACGACGTCGGGTGACTGGTGTTTGGTGGGGTGAGATATGACGCCGGGTGACTGGTGTTTGGTGGGGTGAGATATGACGCCGGGTGACTGGTGTTTGGGTGGGGTGAGATACGACGCCGGGTGAACTGGTGTTTGGTGGGTGAGATACGACGCCGGGTGACTGGTGTTTGGTGGGGGTGAGATACGACGTCGGGTGACTGGTGTTTGGTGGGGTGAGATACGACGTCGGGTGACTGGTGTTTGGTGGGGTGAGATAGGACGCCGGGTGACTGGTGTTTGGTGGGGTGAGATACGACGTCGGGTGACTGGTGTTTGGGTGGGGTGAGATACGACGCCGGGTGACTGGTGTTTGGTGGGTGAGATATGACGCCGGGTGACTGGTGTTTGGTGGGGTGAGATACGACGCCGGGTGACTGGTGTTTGGTGGGGTGAGATACGACGCCGGGTGACTGGTGTTTGGTGGGGTGAGATACGACGTCGGGTGACTGGTGTTTGGTGGGGTGAGATACGACGTCCGGGTGAACTGGTGTTTGGTGGGGTGAGATACGACGCCGGGTGACTGGGGGTTGTTCGGTGAGGTGAGATACGACGTCCGGGTGAACTTGGTGTTTGGTGGGGGGTGAGATACGAGAACGCCGGGTGACTGGTGGTTGCGTGGGGTGAGATATGGTGGCCGGGTAACTGGTGTTTTGGTGGAGTGAGATACGACGCCGGGTGACTGGTGTTTGGTGGAGTGAGATACGGACGTCGGGTGACTGGTGTTTGGTGGGGTGAGATAGACCGTCGGGTGAACTGGTGTTTGGTGGGGTGAGATACGACGCCGGGTGTGACTGGTGTTGTGGTGGGGTGAAGTAACGACGTCGGTGACTGGTGTTTGGTGGGGTGAGATTACGACGTCGGTGACTGGTGTTTGGTGGGGTGAGATACGACGTCGGGTGACTGGTGTTTGGTGGGGTGAGATAGGACGCCGGGTGACTGGTGTTTGGTGGGGTGAGATATGGTGCCGGGTGACTGGTGTTCGGTGGGGTGAGATACGACGCCGGGCAGCCGGTGCGGTCACATTCCGTCACATTGCTGAAGAAAGGTCTTTGTTATGGTATGGACATGAGCTTCCTCTAGGCAATCACTTTTGTCAACCCCAAACTTGCAATCTTTACACCGCTTTCCCATCACTTTAACGCTGGTCACGACAGGCTGCGAAACAAAACGCTGCGCCTAATGCGGAGAACGAACAGAAGACGCGAATCGTTCACTCGAGCGATGAAAACATTGGCCCCATAGCTCATTGAAGCAATCCTCATCACCCGATTGCCAAACATCAATGCAACATTCAACAATCATCGCGACCTATCTTTTTCTTATCTCTCTGCCCTGAAACACTGTTTTGTGTACATGAGACCCGGACTGTCGTCGACAACACGCCTGCAGTGCTGGCGCTCAATCACAAACAGAAGTCAGCAAACGTCGGCTGGATGAGCTAGACCAGGCCCATCGCTCCCACGCGCACGGTCCGTCTCCACTGCTGCTCCCGGGTGTGACTGTAGGCACGCCGTCCATCTCCACCACCGCTCCCGGGTGTGACTGTTCACTCGCCGTCCATCTCCGTTGTCGCTCCCGGGTGTGACTATATGCACGCTGTCCATCTCCAATACCGCTCCCGGGTGGGACTGTACGCCGTCCGTCTCCAATACCGCTCCCGGGTGTGACTGAACGCACGCCGTCCATCTCCACTACCGCCCCCGGGTGTGACTGTGCGCACACCGTCCACCTCCATTGCCGCTCCTGGGTGGGACTGTACGCCGTCCATCTCCGCTGCCGCTCCCGGGTGTGACTAAACGTACACTGTTCGTCTCCAACACCGCACCTGGGTGAAACTGCACGCGCGCCGTCCATCTCCGCTGTCGTTCCCGGGTGTGACCGCATGCGCTCATCTTTTCCGCAGCTCCGCGCGCGGCTCCCACCTATCAGCGGCGAGACGGGCCGCGACCGCCTGTCCGTCGCACGTCTTTGAGTCGTGCCAGACGGGGGCCGACTGCGGCAGGCACGCGGCGCTGGGCCGGGCGCCGCCGTCGGCTGCTGACCGAAGTCGTACGTGCAGGGTCACATGGCGCCGCTCGACGTCCAGCCCCGCCAACACCAGGCTGTCGGGGACGCGCTCCAGCGCCAGGTCCGGGCCGCAGAAGATATCCAGCTGCCGGGCACATAGGACACCGCCGTCACAATGCGGCCCGCTGAGCATGATCGGAGTCGGCCCCGTTGACGTCACAGGCACGGCCCCTGGCCGCCACTTGTCTGTCTGGTAAGCGTCAGAGCGAGGCCGAAGTCCACACGCTCAGGGTACATACACATGTGTGCACGTGCCTACATGCAGAGCGTGTGATTACACCCTCAGGGATAAGCACAGTCGGAGCGTGTTTAAGGTGCGCAAGGGTATCATGCATTTCGTGATCCACGGCCAAAGCGCGGCTGCCCCGCCCGCAACGCCGTCCGGCTGCGGGCCACAGACCTGCACGACCTTTGGCACCGCCAACGCGCGCCTCCGGCTGTGTGGGTTCAGAAGAAAACGTCAGAAGAAACGGCGAGAGGCGCCGCCAGACAGCGCCCGCCCCCTCCCCTTCCCAAAAAAACTGTCTCATCATCAGCGGCGCGAGCACAGTCCGAGCCGCGGGCGGGACACCGTCGGGCTGCTGACGCAGTCCGCCGGGAGGGGGCCGCAGCTGCGACACGTGCGCACACCGCGAGGCACAGCGCGCAACAGCGAGAGCGAGGCAGAGACGTAAGCAGGGCTGCGTTTAAAAACTTAACACACGGACGCATGCAGAGACAGACGATGCCACCACCTCATCAAAACGAGTATGTACACCGCGATGCCCCCTCCACGAAACAGAGATGCGCTTTCATTTCGATCACGTAACCAATGAAAAAAGAGGTTCCCTTGCCGTCATATTCTATAACAGAGCTTATCTTGGCCTTGTTCCGTATTAATGATTATGAAAAGTTACAAAGTAATATAGCATAAAAGGTACAAAATAGCAGCAACTGAGCGGTGTGATAGTGATGTATACGATAGCAAAATAGGAACGGGATGACATAACACTGCAAAATGGCAGCTTAGGAAGCAACAATAAGCAATATTGTTTTAGCCACCAACGGGAAATGTGGTTGAGAGACGCGTTTTTGTCAATCCGTACTGCTCATCGCACCTCCACTTGCACTTAAGTTATCGAATCTTCCTGGATCACACCGTAGCTTATTCCTGCGGGTTTGAGAGGGCTACCAGTTTTCAAATTGTCTGCAGCATGCGTGCAAGACAGAAAAAGTGCGTGCATGCTTTACAAAACGAACGTTTTAGCGCAACAAGCTGCATTTGGTGGGAAATTTCAACTCTCTGGGTAAAGGAGGAGGATCTTGCCAACAAGGGGAGCGTATTTGTCCTCTCTTAATTGACATTTTATTTCATCGAGTATCTGTCTTCAGCTATCATATCATAGGCCTCTAAGAAGTGTTGAATTTGGTATTGGAGCAACATTATGTTCGCGATGTTTTGTGCTCAGCAGATGAGGTGCTTACCTTCTAAAAAAAAAACACGTTTCACTTGTTAAATCACAATTATCGTGAGAGACGAATGTGCTATCGTCCGTGGAAGGAAAATGACTCCAAAAATGCATTGCGCGCTCCCGCTAGGGGCGCCGGCACGTGGCCGTAAGGCGACGCTCTGATCCTCCACCAGGGCCTCCCGGGCTCGCTATGTCCTGTCTTACTGTCGATTCATCTCCTCCAAGGACAGGGCCTCTTAAGACCCACGTGAGTACGAACACATCCATCACCCCATACATCGATGGCATTTAAGTATGCGACGTTCATATAAACCCTTGCCGATGTTGCAACATATACAGACTGTTCAGCGATTTGAATATATACATAGAGGGTGAGGCAGCTGGTGTGGCTCAGCAGCCACGCCGATGTGTTAACAGTTTTCGCATGAATTGTCACTAGCCAAGTTTGTTCGGTTGTCATCAGCTGTTACGTGCATGCTTCACGTGAATTTATCACGCGTGTACGGGAATACACTGTTGGACGTGGCGCTGACCTGGACGTCTTTTAGACGGTGTACGGAAATACACTGTTGGACGTGGCGCTGGCCTGGACGTCTTTCAGACGGTGTACGGAAATGCGCTGTTGGACGTGGTGCTGGCCTGGACGTCTTTCAGACGGTGTACGGAAATGCGCTGTTGGATGTGGTGCTGGCCTGGATGTCTTTCAGACGGTGTACGGAAATGCGCTGTTGGACGTGGCGCTGGCCTGGACATCTTTCAGACGGTGTACGGAAATGCACTGTTGGACGTGGCGCTGACCTGGACGTCTTTCAGACGGTGTACGGAAATGCGCTGTTGGATGTGGCGCTGACCTGGACGTCTTTCAGACGGTGTACGGAAATGCGCTGTTGGATGTGGTGCTGGCCTGGACGTCTTTCAGACGGTGTACGGAAATGCGCTATTGGATGTGGTGCTGACCTGGACGTCTTTCAGACGGTGTACGGAAATGCGCTGTCGGATGTGGCGCTGACCTGGACGTCTTTCAGACGGTGTACGGAAATGCGCTGCTGGATGTGGTGCTGACCTGGACGTCTTTCAGACGGTGTACGGAAATGCGCTGTTGGATGTGGCGCTGACCTGGACGTCTTTCAGACGGTGTACAGAAATGCCCTGTTGGACGTGGTGCTGGCCTGGACGTCGTTTGGACGGCATCGGGATAGCAGTGACTAGGGCGGAGGCACGTGTGTGCCAACTATGAGATCTCTAAATCCAATCCTGGGAATAATTAACATTGGGTGCATTGCGGCGCACCAAAAGAAGTGAATTAACCCTCTTTCGAGACCCCCAAGACCGCGTAAGCTCCTCCAACTATGGGCGGATGTGCGTGCGATAGTGGCTGGGCCGCCCATTCCGGCCAGTGGTCGACCTCGGACGGTGAAAGTGCCGCACTCACGCACGTGCGTAGACAATGACGTTACGTCGGGCCTGACCCCGATCTGCGGCCGGTTCAGGGGAATGACCTGTCGGCTTATCGCCGACCGCCGGCGTGGAGCGTGGTCTGCTGGTTTGGAAAAGGACGGCTGCACCGTGAACAGCGCTCGAGATCTCAAGCGGAGACGAGGCGCGGAATGTGGTCTGTTGGTCTGGAGCGGGACGGCTGTATAGTAAACAACACTGGAGGGTTCAGGCGGAGACAAGGTGTGGAGCGTGGTTTGCTGGTCGGGAGCAGGACTGCTGTACTCTCAGCATTCAATGGTTCAGGCGGAGACGAGGCGTGGATCGTGGTCTGCTGGTCTGGAGCAGGGACGGCCGTACTCTCTGCATTCGATGGTTCAGGCGGAGACGAGGCCTGGACCGTGGTCTGCTGGTCTGGAGCAGGACGTCCGTACTCTCCGCATTTGATGGTTCAGGCGGAGACGAGGCATGGACCGTGGTCTGCTGGTCTGGAGCAGGACGGCTGACGACGGCTGTCGATCAACAGCCTCATTTAGCCACACTTGGTGTTACCAGCAGGGGTTATATTTTGGTTGTACCATGCGGAAACCCAGTCTTGCACATGTCTTAGCGGCCATGTTATGATATTACCGCTACCAGCCTTGACTTTAAAAAAATTGAAGCGGGAACACGTGTGTCAGCAGTGCCGGTGCAACCAGGTAGGCAGCTGGATCGTGGTAAGTTTCACTAACCATTGCTTCAATGATGAAAAATCACAGAGTGTAATGCTTTTGTGTCGGTCAGCTCGGTCAAAGTGGATGCCTGGACCACAGCTCATTTTCAACAGCCTTGTATAGATATAGCCTATAGAGATAGAATAACCAGGAGAAAGCAGGGCTAGATGCATTGGTATTTTGGCTATATGCCTGAATAAAAATGAACATGAGCGGGTCACTCTATGAGGAATAAGGCTGACAACACTTTCTTGTCTATATGTATAATGCTCCTCGTAAATGTGCTAAGCAACTGATCAAGGAAAAAGCAATGTTCCTACTCAGGCGGTTGATTCAATGAGCAACTATGCTCAAGGCTGTGCCAGTCATTTCGGTGACGGTTCTACTCATCTGCGCGGTTGGCCAGATCAGCCCTGAGTCGGCTCGCTTCGTTCCATGGTTCAGACATGGCACTGAGCTGGCTTGCCCCGCTTTATGGTTAAGCCCTGAACCGGCTTCAGCCCTGAGCTAGATCGTCCCGCCCCATGGTTTAAACATGGTCCTGAGCCGGGTCGCCCCGCTCCATGGTTTAAACATGGTCCTGAGCCGGCTCGCCCCGCTCTACGGTTCAGCCCTGAGCCGGCTCGCCCCGCTTCATGGTTTAAACATGGTCCTGAGCCGGGTCGCCCCGCTCCATGGTTCAGACATATGACATTTATTTCCGGCGATTGTCGCTGTGGCGGCACTGCGCAGGCCTGCCCCTGGCCATCTTCGCCGCAGATGACAACACTGGGATGGCCGAAGCCCAGACAGCTTGGCTAGCATAAGCCATGCCTTATCGAGAGGCCGCCTGTAACGGACCCGATAGACGCCGCTGGTAAGGTTCAAAGGTCACGCATCTTCCCGATCACAGGCTGGCCACGGTGGTCTTAGCCGGACGATTGCGCCGCAGGCTGAGGCTGGTCGAGACATGCTGGGTGCACGCAGAAACGACGACGAGTAGAATTTCGCCACCATAACATATGAAAAATAATTCCAATTACGGTGCGCACTGACAGAGTTAAAGCAGCGGGCGATATCGATGCCTTAAATCGGGTTCCCAATCGTAGGGCACGATGTCTTTTTAAACAAGTACTAGCAGGGTAGAGTGTCTTTGTTGGATAACTTAAAAGCGTTGACCCCAGCAGCGCCGCAACAGTCACACCCTCGTCCGGCTGCCTGCTATCCGACTACCGGGGTCACCCGGTCTGGCTGCCCGGCCGCTGACGGGCCCCTGTCGGCGGGTGCGGGACGTGACCGCGGCTGAGGGAGCGGCCGGTGGCGAGACAGCGAGTGAGTGTTGGGGCGGCAGTGTCCGGGCGCCGTGCCGGGACGCAGTGCCCCCCCCCCCCCCCCGCCGTCCAACTATGCTAAACCCCAGCACATTGCTTCGCCAAAACCATGAATATCAGATGGGTTGGCTGGCCGCATGCTGGGCTCATGCATTGTGCCACGACCGGCACTAGCGGAACTTTGCGTACACTTGGCATGCAGCGAGCCTGCACAGTGCACATGTTGCACCCTCCAGCATGCAACCCTGCACTCCAAGACTATCAGTGCATCTCAACAATTTAAATTGAAATCAGTTGTTGTTCAAACCATTTCTCACTCTTACAGCTGCGCTATTTTTAGTACATAATGCACCACAGTCGTGAATGATATTGGCATCTAATATTTAGCTATGATTTTGTATTGAAGCAAACCAAAAACGTTCCAATTGAGTTTAGTACACTCCTTTTGGCAGATGTTATGAGCGTTTCACAAATTTTCGAAAGCGTTCGTTTTGACCAACTCATACAAGCATGCATTGAAAACATACATTCACCTTCAATATATTTCCTATCAAGCCATATACGCTTGCGAAGCCGAAAAACATAAGAAAAGGAAGAGGAAAAACATGTGGGGCTAGGTCAGGCAAATCTGGTTGCTTGACAGTGGAGACTACACATCTACAAAATCATGGTCTGGAGCAGCAAGTGACGTCGGGTGCTACTGTGGTGAGGTTAGAACTCGTGGTCCAATCTGAACAGTCATCTCCTGGTCACGGCTTTCACGATCTTCTTCAGATGACACGTGCTTGCGGAGTCGATCTCTCCCCTCCTGCAGAGGACGGCGATACTGACGTTTTCTGTGCATGGAGGACATCCGTACGCATGACCCTCACACACGACCTTCCCGCCCGTGCGCCGGAACATGGGGCGAGTTAAGATCCCCGGCTTTCTTCCGTCTTTTTCTGCCTTTTCATTGGCGGAGCGAAGAGGTTCAGCAAAATCTGATTCACAGTAATGGTTTATTCTAGGCATTGTATCTAGATTTAATTGAGCTACATTGAATTAATTGGTTATTGGCTGAATTCAGTTAAAATCCAGAGGGCCAGATCCGTTCCGACCGTGCATCTCCTCCACGCGTGCATCCTTCTGCTCCTGCGCAGCCTCCACGCGCGCATCCTTTTGCTCCTGCGCGGCCTCCACGCGCGCATCCTTCTGCTCCTGTGCAGCCTCCATGCGCGTATCCTTTTGGTCCTACGCAGCCTCCACGCGTGCATCTTTTCGCGCCTGCGCAGCCTCCACGCGCGCATCCTTTTGGTCCTGTGCAGCCTCTATGCGTGTATCCGTCTGCTCCTGCGTCACCACTCTTAGACGCCCAGCATCTCAATGAGCATCTGAGATTGGTGACATCGTAATGTTTATTTTCTGCTTGCCCGGGAGTATATTCGCATTCTGTGCTTGCCCGGGAGCATACCCGCACCTGTAAATGTGCCTCCGAAGCTTCAAATTTTACGAAAAGCCTCATTTCCTCCTTCGGACGATCCGGTCAAGGACTCAGAAATTTGTTTATTGCATCTAGATTGCTCTGAAAATATGTGGTAATTAGTAGTTGAAGTACATAATGTAAATACTCTCCTTTTAACCCGACATCCTTTCTTTTCCTTAGCGTCAGTTTAGCTAGCTTGGATTTTGAAGGGCATCTTTGGCGATTAAATCACCATGTATAAAAGTTCCACTGTAGAACTTCCGTGGAATAGCTATCAGCTTCATCGCTGCCACTGCCCTACTACATATTTGGTTATCGTATGATATTATTGATTAACCGATTGTCATTTCATATTCATATGACATGCCAACCCCAGTCAGTTACATAAAACGACTCTCCTGGATACCCATATGACGTCACACAAGGCTTCACCCGAGTCCAGATAGCCCGGATAAGGTGCGGAGCGACGTGCTGGCGTGCGCATGACCACATGTCGACGGCAGGACATCATCTGACACTGTAACCAACGTTCAGCAGAGGACAAAAGCTCGCCTCAGGCATGGTGCTTCAAACTCGGAGACCCGTGCTCGGATACCCGCCGAGCCTGGAACGGCTGGAAGGTTGGGTAGACGGACCACAAAGGCGGCGGCCATCATGTCGCCCTGCACGCACGGCGCGACCGGTGTCCAAGTCTCAGCAAACTGGCAATGCAAATAGTCCTTGGCATGGGAAGGTAGCACTCGTGTGAGATGCCGTCTGTTTTAGCGACATCACATACATTAGTCATGTTCAGGCAGTAAAGCACGCGAAGATGCGACCAATGCTGCATGGGCCGACTGTAATTGATATCCACCAGCCGCCCGTCGCCATCGTTCTCTGGCCGTCCTGAGACGGGTGAGAGCGATGGCAATCGTCGAGCCAGCGTCGGAAAGCTTGGGACGTTTAGGCTGCGTTCTGTTATAGACGGACCGTATGACAAATCGCTCAAATATTCACTGCCTTCATTTCGCACTATGCCTGATAACGCGTTGACATGTGCGACAACGATACAATGACAGCATTTTTGCGTCAATCAACGCATTGATGCTAGCTATCATCCCACACTTGAGGTTCAAGTGAAGAATCCACGTATGGCTTAAGGGCGTTGAACACAAGCAAAATAAATGGAATTAAAAACCTCAGCGAGAATAGCACGCGTGACAACTCCGATATAATACCCGTATCTGCTGTATGTAGGTCAGTAGGACACCAGGTGTGTTCAGTCTTATCTGTTGAACATACGCCAATGCGAGAAAAAAAAACACGGTTATCTCACTGCCCACAGCCCATACAAAGTGAAAGATTAGTTCGGTCCGCTTGCTCCATATCCATGTAACACGTGTTGACCCTTGTGCGCTCCAACATGCTGACTGCAGCTTCATTTCTCGCCTGACGCACGCGGCATATCGAGCGATTTTATTCCCTGCACCAAAGCTCGGGAAGCACATGTGCAACCGCTTCACTTCTCGGCAGTGAGTGGGAGGGATGAAAATTATCATTCATGACGTTTAAGCCACATATGTAGCCCCCAATGTCAAACATTTGAAATTATTGTGACCATGTCCCTCCCCCGGCACTTGTATACAAAGTGACGGCGCTGCCAGTGGCCGACACCGTACCTGGTCTGGATCGAACTGGATTTCGTCGGCGAGCAGCGCTCGGAGCTCGCTGATGTTGTAGTTGATGCGCAGCTCGCGCAGCAGACGGCCGCCGTCAGGCAGGCACAGGCTCACGCGCGCCACCGGCGCGCTGTTGGTCGAGTCGCGCCTCCTCCATAGCGCCAGCGACTCACGCTCAGCGGGACAGGTACCCATCACCGCTCGGTCGGCACCGCTTCTGCCCGGCGCCGACCTGCGCGCGGTATTTATAAGGCCGTGCAGGGGCGGCGCCAGGCACCAGCTGGGAGGGGTGAGCTGACAGTCAGTGAGATGAGGCTGGAGAGCACCTGTGTTGTGAAAGGATTTAGCAAGACTGATGACGTCAACCGATAGCTACGCGACTAGGAATCCGCGTCACTGCGAATCCCGCAAAATCAAATTGACATTGCTGTCTGACATCAAAGGAGGTACGTTTTGGTGACAGTAATTTCTACCCATATTTTTTGCCAACAGTCCGGCACATTTAAGATCTGAAATATTTGCCGAACAGCGAACAACACAAGTTGTTGGTGCCAAGTACATTTAGAAATGCTGGCACGACGGTGCGTAGTTTGAACCTTTCATTCGTATAAAGTAGTGCGTAGGATGTTTGCTTCTAGGTCCCTTCTGTCTCCCTGCGCTCTCCACCTGTTTGGTTTTATAAGGGGTAGATTGAGAGCGACCTGACGAGGTCTGAGTCTCAGCCCCTTTCGGTTCCAGGAGTGAGCTCGGCCACTGGGGAGGCAGCGTCGAGTCTCAGTCCCTTTCGGTTCTAGGAGGGAGGCTGGAAGCTGATGAGACTGCGTCGAGTCTCGTCCCTTCGGTTGCAGCAGAGAGACCGGTAGCTGGTGAGACAGTGTTGGGCTTAAGCCCCTTGAGCCACAGAACGAGGATAGACGGGTTTAGCCACTAGTGAAGGTTAAAGTTTCAACCTTCCCAGCTCGGAAATTTGGTATGCACAGGCAATTTTTTGGATAACTGAATCAGATTTAACGGATCACAGAAATGAGCCGTGACTGAACCAGACTTGATTCAGTGGCGGTAATCGGTGGAGGTGAAGCGGTTTATACAATCTCGATCAGTGAAAAAAACAAAATGCTTGCATTACTCTGCGTGGTTTCAAACGCTTGCAGTCCGGCTCATTAGCTTAAAACATTGCCGCTCTAATGCACATATATAAAGTAGATTAAAGTCATGTAATGTCCAATGGTATTGGCTGGATGTTGCTGAATGAAAGTATTTCTTCCTTGTCTTAGTTTGGTTCGATGTTCTTATTGGATCAGCTACATTTTAATGGTTAGCACTGCATCCTCTCAAGCGTATTTAACTTCACAACAGTGTTGATTGACGCACACGTAACCATTTATATGTGCATTGGTCCGGTAAAGTATCAGGCATGGGTAATTTCTTCCATCAATTTATGGAGGCCTTCATTTAAGTCTGTTACACGCTATGCAAAGGACCAGTGAACACCAGTTAACTGCAATTTAATCGTAGTCAAGCCCAGGTGGGTTGGCTCGTGAAGCGCAGGGTTAGTTCCTCTTCAATCACTTGGCCTGGAATGGTCTGCTTTAGCCGATCAGCCAGTTTTGAAAGCAAATCATATTTCCTTTTTTGTAGACCTTCCGACAATGGAATGTAAGGGCAATCGGCCACTCAGGATGTCGTAGCGTTAAGAATGGTAAAATAGTTCCATATTTACTATGTGAAATTTAAGTTTCAACGTAACGTGAATACATACTGGCAGAATTAAAAATGTCCAGAATATGTACAATCAAGAATAAAAACTTGTTATGCAGGCACGCTTACGCATAACATGACGCAAACAAAATCATTGCTTCAGTTAGAGTTCCGTCAAATTGTGCAATGCCGAATATTATTCGACGTGCTAAGCCGCGGTCTGCGCGAAGAAAAAAAACAGAGATAGAGTCAGACAATTTGACATCAGGTACTGAGCGTGAACAGAGTTTGCATCATGGATGACGCCAGACTCAGGAGTGACATTTTAACGGAGTAATAGCAGTGTTACCGAAGGCGCGTGGGAGGGTCCCCACGTCAAGGATACCGTGCGAGAGTTTTGAGAGCAGGGATGACCACTAGCCACCTTCAGGCATGGGTAATGGATGGGGTGCGGAGATGCTGTTCGGACCCATGGGACTATCCGGCAGACCGCGTACGGTGCATTCATACGTAATCTCAGTAGACTAAGCATGACCCCTCCGTCACATGACACCCTGTATATTGACTACGGAGAAGCCGAAGCGCCTCCGTTGACCAGGGATATCAACAAGCTACCGGCCGGAACAAAGTTGAGCTACCTAACGCAGGTATACTATTTTAGCATTGCACGAGACACGCTGCCGAAGAACGCAGGCACGAATACGAGGGATGAACTGAGGACTTGGAGGCAGCGAAAGCGGTCAGAGGCATTACAAATGGCAACGAAAGATCGGAGGTGGCTGAGAGACAGACGGGGACGCAACAGAGACAGGAGATGGACAGACTGGAACGCAAGATGCACGAGCGTTCAGAGGGGCATCTGGCTGGTACCTCCAGCCCTTTACCCTCAGCGGAAGACCGGTGTCCCTGGTGCTCACGTAATAGTGGACGAGAGCCTTTATAGCAGCCGAAATAGCGGGTGTAGCGACAAAAAGAGGTATTTAGATGTGCATACCCCTACAAATCACGAGCGCGTATGCACGCCACGTTCATGACTCGCCTTGCTCCAGGTGTCGATGGGTGGCATTTGCGAAATATTAACGCAAAACTGACGATTTGGCTGTCTTGAGACAGAGCAACATGCGTTTCGTTGTGTCTGCTGCTGACTGGCCGCACCACGCACGCTGGGTACCCGCTGGTGACTGTATTTGCCCACAACGGCTGGACGGGTCAAATGGGACGCCGCCACAGGAGACACGGCAGTGCGGCGCAACCGCCATCCCAGGGGGCGTCATCACGTGGTCGCGCAACGAAAGGGTCGGCGCGCTACGGGCCCTGGGCGGTCACCGTGCAGAGTATGACATGACACATTTCACTTATCAGCGACCCCCGTATGTCATGAATGGGACTTTTCGAGCACTGAAGCAATGCGGTCGTGTGAATAATCTGGAGCTTATCCCAATTAACTGAAGTTCTGGGTGGCTTGCAAGGTCACGCGACATCCTTCGAGCAGACTACATTGTTTATAGAACTGGGCCTAACATTGCCCTTGGTATATTTCTCCTGTTATGCTTTCCTATGCTCTCCATGGTAATCCTTGTCCTCGTTGTTTAACGGAGAGTGGGAAATCCCTGAGAAGCTTGTGGTCACTGCAAAACACTGTAGCAGGCGCTGGAAAGCGGTAGTTTTCATGAGCAATCCAACAAAGCAAAGCCAAAACCATCCACCAAATTCACATTTGTCATTTGCATAGGGTTTTACAGTTAATTAATGCAATGCAGTTCACAGCCCTGCCCTTCTTAAGACCTAAAACATTCTAGTTTCTGAGCTATACACCCGCAAAGATGCAAAGACTATTTCAAGGAGGCCATTTCAAGGTCACCCAGGCATCCATGACACCATAATAACGTCATTCGAATCCTGTCCTTCAGTTGGCATGCGGCGGTCAAGGCCAAGAGCAAAACAATGGTCGAGTCGTCCATATCTGACGTTTGTGAGCATGACTTTAGGTGTAACATCCGTAAATTATCTCCCCATCAATGTCGTACAAGATAAGATGACGCAATCAATGACGCATTGAGAAAGATATTTAGTAAGCAGGGAAACTGTGTTGTCTAAAACAGCCTTTCAACTTAGTAGTTTACTTATAGCAAAAAGTGTGATTATTTCATCGTATCTGATACTTTCTTCATTATTTTCAAATGAGTAGCATGCTTTTTAACAGCCAACTTAAGATAGACTTTTCGGAACGTGAGTCAACGCGTTGCCTTGGTGGGCAGCTAATGGTGATAACAGCTGTAGAAGTCTGGTAGCACTCTGTTTAAACCAGCCCGAACTCGGGAACTCTGAAACATTGCTGGTTAACCGGAACAGGGATGTTTCGCATCCAGTCAGTACGTGACGCTACGTTTGGGGCACCCGAATCCCGTGTCGCATCCAGAGAGCGGGCCACCCTGTAGTTAACCTGTCACAGACCCGCAACACCGGGATATTCGCTTTCAAACGTAAGGACCTTCCGACCTTGAGGTATTATCAGGAGAGGCGGGATGAATTGCCAGAGAGAGAGAGAGAGAGAGAGAGAGAGAGAGAGAGAGAGAGAGAGAGAGAGAGAGAGAGAGAGAGAGAGAGAGAGAGAGAGAGAGAGAGAGAGAGAGAGAGAGAGAGAGAGAGAGAGAGAGAGAGAGAGAGAGAGAGAGAGAGAGAGAGAGAGAGAGAGAGAGAGAGAGAGAGAGAGAGAGAGAGAGAGAGAGAGAGAGAGAGAGAGAGAGAGAGAGAGAGAGAGAGAGAGAGAGAGAGAGAGAGAGAGAGAGAGAGAGAGAGAGAGAGAGAGAGAGAGAGAGAGAGAGAGAGAGAGAGAGAGAGAGAGAGAGAGAGAGAGAGAGAGAGAGAGAGAGAGAGAGAGAGAGAGAGAGAGAGAGAGAGAGAGAGAGAGAGAGAGAGAGAGAGAGAGAGAGAGAGAGAGAGAGAGAGAGAGAGAGAGAGAGAGAGAGAGAGAGAGAGAGAGAGAGAGAGAGAGAGAGAGAGAGAGAGAGAGAGAGAGAGAGAGAGAGAGAGAGAGAGAGAGAGAGAGAGAGAGAGAGAGAGAGAGAGAGAGAGAGAGAGAGAGAGAGAGAGAGAGAGAGAGAGAGAGAGAGAGAGAGAGAGAGAGAGAGAGAGAGAGAGAGAGAGAGAGAGAGAGAGAGAGAGAGAGAGAGAGAGAGAAGAGAGAGAGAGAGAGAGAGAGAGAGAGAGAGAGAGAAGAGAGAGAGAGAGAGAGAGAGAGAGAGAGAGAGAGAGAGAGAGAGAGAGAGAGAGAGAGAGAGAGGAGAGAGAGAGAGAGAGAGAGAGAGAGAGAGAGAGAGAGAGAGAGAGTGAGAGAGAGAGAGAGAGAGAGAGAGAGAGAGAGAGAGAGAGAGAGAGAATTTTACATAAGATCCGCCATAATATGGCCTCCGGTTTCCACGTCACATACATTTGACACCCAGGTAACAACAAAAGGCATTGCCCACAGTGATAAAAACGGCGCAATATATTCGCCTCGACTGTAGGTAAA